TTTGCTGATTTGTGCCTGGCCAGGCATTTCCTGCCACCCCAGACATTCTTCGGGTGCTTTCTCTGCTACCTTTAGTTAATGAATATGTGGGGGAAATGAAATCTCTTCTGGTTTACAGATCGCAGGTGGTATCTCGGGAGTAAGTTTCCATGTGTTTGGTCGTCTTTGCCCTCCGAGAGCAGTGGAGGCCTGCTGGGGTCCGATCGGCACCCCCTGCTTGCTGCTGCTGGGAGAGGCCAAGGGTTTCGTCTTTGTTTGGGCTGCAAGGACAGGCTGATGGTTTCTGCTGAAACTGCCACCACAGCTGTACTTGCATCTCCAGAGGGCTTTAACTTGCAAAGAGCTGTTACTTCTCCACTCCATTTGCAGGGGGCTTCTCTCCTTTGCACCTGGGACACTAGGTCTGGGTACCGAGACTGGGCGTCTGGACAGCTGCCCGGGCTCTGCACCAGCCCGCATTGTGAGATGGCTTCTTTCTGGTTTTGGCATAGCCCATATGGGCAGGAACCAGCCTGGGCCGTGGGAATAAAGGGCGAGGGAGGTGTGGCTGGGCCCCCGTTCTGACCTCTCACACTCCGGAGCCTCTCTGGACCTCTTACCAGTGACACATAGGGACCCACGAGACTCCTTAGTCCAGTCCACCAGGTGCCGTGGAAGATATCATTTCAGCAGTTTACATTTCACCCCTGTAGCAAAAACACGTGGACCCACAAAATCTACTGAAATGAAATGTACTGTAAAGAACAGTCCTTAATCCAGGCCAGCAATTTACATTTCACCCCTGTAGCAAAAACATATGAACCCCCAAAATCTACTGAAATGGTAAAGCACAGTCCTTAATCCAGACCAGCAGTAGTCACTTAGCACTTTTCCCCCAGTCTTAACTTCTTTTGGAGAACACAGACCCCAAAGGCACGTGCTTAGCGCTGGGGCTCCCTCGGGGTGGGGGGGGAGGGGCGCCCAGCAAACTGTGCCTGTCACTGAGCGTAGGTCTGAAGCTAAACCTGCTGGGACCCAAACTCAGGGTTCTACTTGGTTCTATGGCCGCGCACAGATGGGAACACTTGCCTCAGGAGAGAAACGGAAAGTGGAGAACAGCCCTGAGTTCCGGTGTCACTCGGAGGCTGGTCCTGCAATCACGGGTCTCTCCCACAGCCACCTGCTGTCCGGACCAACTCGTGTTCTATTTTCGTACCGGCACTCACACCCTCCATCGCTCTGGGCACAGTCCTTATTCTCTTGGCTTTGCTGCTATGCACATCTCTGACCCCCCTATTTCTGCGTGGTTTCTTCCTTGATTTACTGAAATCACTTGCAAAGTCAAAGTCTCTTATCACCGACGGCTTCTGCAGCATCCTCTCCTCCTGCCCCTCCATCTCCTTGTCACCTGTTCTCACCACTTTCTCTCTCCCTCCCCTATTTGCAATTCCTGGAGAATTTGGCAGAAGTCACTCATGCCCCTGGGTGAGGTGTGACTGGGGCCGGAGGCCATGTCCTCAGCCTAGAACAGTGAAATGTGCCTGTGTCCTTGCCTGGGGGAGACAGCTCCTCATCCCCTGACCTTCCCTCTGTGTCTCTAAAGGCCATCGGAGAGTTCATTTTGGTGGACAAGAATGTGAAGATCAAAAAGAAAGGTAACATCTACAGCCTTAACGAGGGCTACGCCAAGGACTTTGACCCAGCTGTCACTGAGTATATCAAGAGGAAAAAGTTCCCCCCAGTAAGTGAGGGGTCTAGGGTGGGGCTGAGGCAGTGTCCAGACATCTGGTATCAGGGGCAGCTCTGGAGAAAGGGGGTGTCCTCTGAGGGGAGAAGGGACCCTGGGATTAAGGGTTCTCACTTGGGCCTCTTGAGTTATGTGAAAAACCCATTGATTGATGATTCACCTTTGACGTGAAAGAAAAGAGGGATGGAAGTGGGTTGGATTTGCATCAGCACCAAGCCTGGGATTAAGTTCTCATCTACGTACCGGGGGCTGGAATTCTTGTCCTAAGATGTCAAAATGGGACAGTCTGTGTCAGGTCTTGCAACTTTCTCTTGGCAGAAGAAAATCTGAATGATAAAGTCAACCAGATGAATGACTGAAGGGCAATGAGGCATTTTCCTCTGCACAGGCCCCTGGTCCCAGGTGGTACAAAGTTCCACCTACTCCGGCACCAGCCATGCAGTACCTGTCCCTCTTGGCCTAGAGTCCAAGATGGCTTTTACCAGTCATCTCAAGAATGAGAATGTCCATCTTAGTATCTGTCTAAGGAGGGTACAAATTAGTGACAATAAAGAGGAGAAATGGCTGATTATAGAGCTGGCTGTGCATGGGAATGGCTGATGTCATACCCTTTCTTTTTTAAATTTTTTTTATTGTTTGGGATTCATTGATGGTACAAAAAATTAGGTTACACTGGTTGCATTTGTTAGATAAAGTCCTGTCATACCCTTTCTTAAATCCTGGAGGCACCTACTGTTTTCCTGTTGTTCACATGATGTTGGAAGTCTTGAGAGCTGGCCCCGAGCTCTTTCTCCAGCTGAGTCATCTCCTTTAACTTTCCCTGGATTCTTCTCCCTTCCCCACTCTGCATACACTCTCTCTAGTCCTACAGGCCCCTCTGCCAGGTCTGGTGACAACAGCACTCCCCTCTCCATGTTGCTAAGGCTTGGCTTGAGTGGTGTCCTCTCCCTAGGTTGGCAGAAATCCTTCTTGACCTTTACAGTGCTACTAACTGGCATAATTTTTGTGAGGCCTGCCCTGAGCCCAGAGCCAGAGTTAACCACACTCTCCTTAGGGCTTCTAAGTGGGTGATGTGACCTCTCGTGAACTGTTTCCATTGTCCTACTTTCTGCATCACACGTCAGAAGGTGCCCAGTGAATGGCCAGAGAATCAAACACACACAAGGGACACAAAGGGAACTCGCTTTCTTTATTTTCTGCAACTATGGTCACTGCTGTTCTTAACTTTGCAGGATAACTCAGCTGCCTATGGCGCCCGGTACGTGGGTTCCATGGTGGCCGATGTTCACCGCACTCTGGTCTATGGCGGGATCTTTCTGTACCCAGCTAACAAGAAGAGCCCCAATGGAAAGGTAAGCCCATGGCCTGGAGAGTGACTTACAAGCAGCAGATTGCATTTCCAGCCTGAGGGATTTGATTTAGGAAGAAAGAAAGGTTATGGTAGCTGTTAAGCTCTAGTAAGTTGCTAAGGATGTTGGTGGCATATTCTTTTCTAGATTAAAGGTAAAGTTATGCGATACCAACTAAACATAAAAACAGTCTCATGAGAGTCCTTCCAGTGCTATGGGAAAGAGAATTAACACTCAGGAGGGGGACTAAACATCCAGAGAGCTTCCAGTGGATACTTGGCTTGGCTTGGGCAAAGTGAATTCCACTCACAAAGGGAAACAAAGTAGCCCAGTCTCATTTCCAAGGCAGCGAATCCAATACGTATCCCAAATAGGAGTCCTCTTTGGTTGCTTTCAAAAAGCATAAAATAGAAATGACTAATGGGTTGACATTTGCTACTTGGGAAATGATCCCTTTTAGGGAAGGAAGGAATCTCTGGGTAAACCTATAGCTTTCAGGTGAGCTGTTACCACTGACCACATAGCCCCAAGGCTGACAGTGTCCCCAGGGTGGGCCCTGCTGTCTCACACTGGGTAAGAAGCACCTGCTCTCCTCCCCCCAGGGTGGCAGTGTGCCCCCTGAGTACTGTGTCTAGTTTATTTTCACCTTTCTTTTTTTAAACATGAGAGAAGGAAATTTCTCATTGCCATACACTCATTCGTCTGGTTGACTTTATCATTTGGCTTTTCTCCTGCCAAGAGAAAGTGGCAAGAGCTGACACAGACAGTCCTGTACTCTCCTTAAGATAGTTAGACATCTACATACTTGGATATGGTGAGAGCTGTTTGCTGCACATGGGGTCCAGTCTGCTAAAGGCACCCTTACCTACCTAGAATGCTGCTTCTGCCGCAGCCACCTCACGCACCCAGCCTACCAGATTAGCCTGCCTTCCAGCACTTTTCTCAGTGCCTCCAAACATTGTTCCTGAACACAAATATTAAGGCTCCTCCTTTATTCCTTCCAGTTTTTCCAATCTGGCCATGACACCTACATGAAAACAGAGTCAGGAAACACCTGCAAAAAGCTGTCGCTCAGTAGGACGGCTGTATGAAAATGCATCACGGTAAAAAGTTAATATTTAACGTAACTGCCAAGATGTATAGCATACAAAATTCCAGCCCTCGGGCCTTAGGAGAGTTGTAAAGGGAATGCACACAGGGCTGCACACAATATTACACTGTTTGGAGGAGCCAGTCTGCCCTCCAGATGTCTGCAGCCAGACACTACCATGGATTTTTCTGATGCTTTTAGAATAGGCTAAACTCCATCCAAAACACACACGCAGTCACTCATTAAGTCCAGTTTCCATGCTATAAAGAGAAGGGACTCATCAGTTCTGCCAAAATGTCATTCTGTCCTGCATCCAGGTGGTCTGTCTCGAATTTGCATCAGGTAATCTGCTGCGGGTTCTGGCCTGATGAATGGCTGAACTTAACTCAAAGGCTGTTTCCTTTCAGATGTAACCCGGGCTGGGAGGGAACTTTCATAACCTCATAGTAGGGAAAAGGGACTATGGGTTACTCCCACCAGCTCTGCACTACTTTGCTACAGAACAAGTCCCCTCTCTATGTAATACCTCCGGTATGCAGCGGCTGCTCTGGTCTTGCTTTCCAGCTGAGACTGCTGTATGAGTGTAACCCCATGGCCTTCGTCATGGAGAAGGCGGGGGGCATGGCTACCACTGGGAAGGAGGCTGTGCTAGACATCGTTCCCACTGACATCCACCAGAGGGCGCCGGTGATCTTGGGGTCCCCTGACGACGTGCAGGAGTTCCTGGAGGTTTACAAACAGCACTCTGCCAAGTGAGGGGCCAGCTGCGCCCATTCCGGAAGGAGTGTCCTCCACTCGGACCTTTCGTCTCACGTCGCCCTCCCCTGTTGTGGCAGCACATCCTGCGTCCCTAGAGAGCAGAAATAAAAAGCGTGGCTGCTTTCACCCTCAAATGCCGTGTAATGCCTGGTGCTACATAGCAAAATGCTGTCTGGATGATGTCGCTGGTGGGCAAGATGTATCCTGAGCAAATGGAGGAGAAATAAACACGGTCTTCCTTTTAGGAAAAGGTCTTCATTGCTTTGTGTCTAATGGTGGTGATGATAACAGCTCACGCATGTGTCTACCCTTAGATAGCTCGTGTAATCCTCACAGTAACCTTATGGATTAGATACTGTGAAGAACCCATTTTCTAAATGACGAGACGGAGGACTGAGAGGTGAAGCAATGGGCGCCAGGCCTCCAGCCGGTGAGTGGCAGAGCTGCGCTAGGACCCCAGGCCATGGGAACCTGAGCTAACGTGTTGCTTCTCCCACGTGTCGTCCCACTCCAGTCCCGCTGGGCAGAGCTACCCTGCCCAGGCTGTCTGTGTCCGCCTAGAAAGGGGAGCGCTAGTAGCTCAGTGATGGCCCCTGTGCATAATCATACGAGTCACAAGTGAAGGTTTACATTGGTACCCTCTTTTGGTCAGCGGGGTGTGGGTGGTAATGACGTCTACAGACCTTCTAAGGTGATTTAAAGCCTAATAATTTTTGAGATCTAGTTATCATAAGGGAAAGGAGTCATCAAAAGAACAGGATTTAAGAAAATAACAATTTGTCACAATCAACAGCTCACTAAGCTCTCTATGAAACAGTTTCTCCCTCAGCTAACTTGGTTCTTTGTGGACCAGAGTCCAAGATTATGGCACATTTTATAACAGATGTAGACACTGATAGAAAATGTGGCCTTTTATGAGCTCTAGATTTTAAAATGTACCACTTGGGAACTGAAAACAGGTATCTCTGTAAAGGCTGCCTCTTTTTCTGCAAATGCTCCCCATTCATTCCATGTTTTTCCAGAAGGCAACAGTTTGATCTTGAGCACTGGGTCAGTATCTCCCCCACTCCAGCTGCAGGAGGCCCTCTCTGGAAAGTCCTCTGACTCACAGAGCACCCTTTGATTCTTAACCTTCCTGTAGCTCAGCTGGCCTTCGGCTCTGAAAGAGCTGAGGGAGACATGGCAGAGTCTGGGAGCCTTTTCCTATCACTGAGATCACTGGAGGGAAACAACACCCATTCTGGTGTCAGGATGAAACCGGGCAAAATACCAAAGACCCATTTCCTCTGCCTTTGTGTGTTCTGTCTGGTGTCTTTGGATTGAGCTGTTGGTTCATTTAGCACAGAGCTTTCAACTGCCGCTTGTCTGCATTCTGCTGACACGTGCAAGGCTTTCTCTTTCTCTGAGAGAGACACAGACCCAGAGAACAGCAGCACTGACAGCAGTTCTCCTCGGATGGTCCTTAGAATCTCAGTTGGACTTGACCTTGGAGTGTCTTGGCTGCCACACTTGGACAGATGAAGGTGAGGGCATTACACCCACTGAATGTCACATAGAGACATGGCAGGAACGCAGCAGGAATGGGGCCCATTGTCACACTGCTCCTAAAAGGTGGGTGGTCCTTCCTACTTTGCCTCAAATCACAGAGGAGAGCAGTGTCCTCTGGCCAAGCTGGGGCTGGCTAGTGGGATTTTGCTAGTTTTTCAGCACCAGTATGAGCTGGATTTGTGAAGAGGCCCCACATTCCCTCCACCACCTGCAGCTGTGCGTTTTGCTCTTAGGGGCTCTGTACCCCTCACCTTCCAAATTAAGAACACAGTGGGGCTTCAAATCAAATTCTAGGTCAAAGCAAAGCAACCGAGAAGTTTGTTTCTCCACACTGGTGTGTTGCTGCTTGGTGCCCTTTGGCAAAAGCTAAGGAAGAATCCTCCAGTTTGACTTGAAGTGACCAGCAGCCCTGGCTCTGCCCCACATGCAGGGGAGGCACAGCTCATGCCCCTCCTCAAGCAACATGGAGTCCAAGTCCCCAGAGTGACTGTGCCCTGGTCCTTACCTTCAGAATTGGGAGTAATTTCAAGATGCCCATAGGGGGGTTGAATGGTATCCCCTGAAAGGAGATGTCCACATCCAGGTCCCTGGGGCCTATGAATATGACCTGATTGGGGAAAAGGGTCTTTGCAGATGTAAGTAGTTTAGAGAGTAGAGATGAAATCATCCTAGATTACCTAGGTTAGGGTGGGTCCTAAATCCAATGATATGTCCTCATAAGAAACACACACAACAGAAGGGCACATGAGGATAGAGGCAGAGACTGGAGTGATGGGGCCACAAGCCAAGGAAACCAAGGAGTAGCCACCAGTAGTTGGAAGAGGCTAGGAAGGACTCTTTTCTAAAGCCTGCAGAGGGAGTGTGGCCCTATTGGCACCTTGATTTTGAACTTTTATCCTCTGGAACCATGTGAGAATACATTTTTCTTGTTTTTAGCCATCCAGTTTGCGATACCTTGTTGTGGCAGCCCTAGGAAACAGTTGCTAATCATGCAACTGAGGGATGTAATTCAGGTGTCACATGCATCAGAGCACAGATGACATCTCTTCCTTCACACGGCTGTTCTCATCAAATGGGTCCTGCATAGGCATGGGCTGGTGATCAGATCTAAAGGATTAAACACAAGATGGTCCTACCCTTTCACTGAGATGCTACTTCTGGTTTCCCTGAAGGACTGAGGTGCTGCCACTGAGTTACTGCCACTGAGGTACAGATATCCCGGTGGCTTGCAGAGCTGGGTGGTGAGGGCAGAGATGGTAATGAGTGGAGAGTGGCACCTTCTGCCCTCAGGGAGTCCTGGAAAGCTGCCAAGCGGGCATCTGGCACCAATGCTGACCTGGCACTGGGGTCAGGATGGCCTGAGGCAAGGTCCCACCTCTGCCCCTGCCCAGTTATGGGTATCTGGTAAAGACCAGCCACACTGGTTTCTTTTCCTGGACCCACAGGAAGACGACCTTCCCAGCCTCTCTTGCATTAAGTGAGGGCCATGGGTTTTGGTCAGCGGGGTGTGGGTGGAAATGACGTCTACAGACCTTCTAAGCTGACTTCCAGCCCCAGTCCTGCGTCCTCTTCCCACCATGCCATCTGTGAAGCTGTGCATTTCAATGACAGGGTCACAATAGGGCAGGAACCTAGAGGCTAAGCCACCACCCTCTTGACCTCAGCCTGGGATGGGGAGGAGAAGCAAACCTTCCCTGTACCCAGGGACTGGGATTTCAGACTTACTTGTTACTGCAGCATAACCTGGGCTGTCCTGACTAGGATAGACTGAGCTTGGCAACATTTATAAAATCTCTCTGAGCCTCTGTTTCTTCATTTGTGACGTGTTTTCTTTTCTTTCTTTTTTTTTTTTTAGAGAAAGAGTTTCACTTTATCGCCCTTGGTAGAGTACCATGGTGTCACAGCTCACAGTAACCTCCAACTCCTGGGCTTAGGTGATTCTCTTGCCTCAGCCTCCCGAGTAGCTGGGACTATAGGCATCCACCACAATGCCCAGCTATTTTTTGCAGTTTGGCCAGGGCCAGGTTCGAACCCACCACTCTCGGTAAATGGGGCCAGCGCCCTACACACTGAGCCATAGGCACCACTCCATTTGTGACATGTTAATTGTAATACCTATTGTTGTAGTCAAGGCCATTTTCACTGTAGTAATAGAAACCCTCTCATTCCAGGTGAATCAGAAAGGGAATGTATTGGAAAGCTTCAGGGGGATCTCATGAAATCTAGTACTCACTGCTTTCCCAGCCCCAAGGGTACATCTCCCGAGTTCCTGCATCATCCTATTCATGGATGCATCTTGTCTCATGTTATATCTGTGGGGAAAAAAAAATGTAATAGGCTCAGCTTGTGCCAAGTGTCTATCCTTGGTCCAATCAGCTGTAGCCAGAGACCAGGGCATATAAGACCAATGTGCCCTGGAGTTTTCCTCTTATAGGCAGGTGCGTTTTCTCTGCGATGGGGATCAGGAGGTCAGCAGATGCCCAGTGACATGTGCCGTGCTGTGTGCAGGAATGTGGAGGCTCCGTGAAAAAGTGTATGTTGAGATTCCATGAGAGGGCAGGGATGGAGCATCTCAGTGGAGTTTTGCTGACAAACAGTCCCTCAGCTAATACTCTAAAGTCACTCTCGAGATCCTAGTCTTTAGGTGGAAGATCTTGCCCTGTGACCTGCTCTAAGACTTCCTTAAGTCTGCACTGCATCTGTTTTGTCTTTATTATTTAGATGCCTGTGAGGACATTTCCCTAAGCCCAGCAAGGCCAGTGGTAGCTTTGTGGTCACTGATGTATTACCGGTGCTGAAATAACCACAAGGCAGATGTTGTTCTCTTTTCCTCTGGGCTGTTACCATAGCCGCCCTCTCATGTGCCCTGAAGAACTCTGGCATTTGCTGAAAGGCCACCAGTGGCAATTTTAGATCATGTTGGTAACTCAAACTTCTAACATTTACAAATAGCTGCAAAGGAGTTACAGGTTATGACAGCCGTGCCGGCGTCAGGCTGGGCTGGAAGGTGGTAGAAACAGCTGGTCTTCCCTCAGACTCTGTGTGGGCACAGCAGGCTGCTTATAGATGGCACTGGCCAGCACTGCTCCCCAGCTCCCCAAATCACCCTCTGCTGGTTCCTTACACCACAGAGTGATCAGCACCCAGCAGCTCTCCGCAGTCTGTGCCGAGGCACTCACTGGTTTGTCCGTATCATTTCCGATCTATTGTGAACAGATATGCTTACAGAACACCATCAAAAGAACTTCTGGAATGGCCAATACATATATGAAAAAGATAAAGTCACAAATCATTAGGGAAATGGGACTCTAGGCCACAGCTATTATAAAAAATGAGTATAGAGTCATTGGGACCCTCATCATTGCTGGTGCAGCCCCTGTGGAAACAGTGTAGCGGCTCCTCAGGAAATTAAACATATAAAGACACACATCCCGAGAAACTGATAAAATAGCCCTGCTGCTCGGCACTATGCTGGGAATATGATAGTTTCTTCTGGATTTCGATATCTACTAACTATGAATATCCACCTGGAGATAAGAAACATCCTTTCCAGACTTATTTGAAAGAACCCTGGCTAAAGAGATCCCAGGCTTGCCATTATGCGACTGTGTGACCTATGCCCCAGATAAGACACCTGCCAGTGTGCCAGCTACACCCGGGAGACTCAGGCTCTGCTGTCTGTATATGGGAAGAATCCTTCTGAGCCCTGGAATGAAAGGGTTTTATGAATCTTTTTATCAGCTGCATTTCTCACTTTTTACCTAATGGCGCTTCTTAGTGTCTCCTCAACAGAAAATCCATCCGTGTTTCTGGGCAGCCCCGCTCTGTTTACAGAGGGCTGCGGTGCTCTGGCATGAGATCAGAGAGATCCTTGAGGGCTTGTCCAGTTCTTACAGCCACGTGGGTTGGGCCCCTTTTCCTTAAAGGTCCCGGTGCGGCCAGCACAGGGTTTTTTTTTTATTATTAGCTTCCGTGCTGTGGAGCCACAGCCCTTGGAGGTAAATAAGGTTTCCTACAGAAAGAAAGGAAGGATTTGAAGCAGTACCAGCCACAATGACGGACAGAAGCCCCTTTGAAACGGACATGCTCACGCTGACCCGCTATGTTATGGAAAAAGGGCGTCAGGCCAAAGGGACCGGGGAGCTCACCCAGCTGCTGAACTCCATACTGACAGCCATCAAAGCCATCTCCTCGGCTGTGCGCAAGGCCGGCCTGGCCAACATGTGAGTCCTGGGGAGCAGGTGCGGGCAGGTGCACAGAGGACCCTCGTGCCAGGCTGAGATGTGGAAACTGAAGGTGCTTGGGCAAGAAACAGACTCCAAAGCTTATGGCCTTATGTACCCCATTTTAAATTGCCATCTTGTGTTTTGACTTGTTTCAAGAAAGAAATAAAATATTTCAAGGCACATATTATAGAAATACATTTACATATAGTTTTTCCAGTTACTACTCATTCTCACAACAAGTACAGTGGCTTGCTGCATTAGAGCATATATTGAATTCCCATGTCTTGTATTTGCATAGGGAGATTTCCACTGGCACAAAGAAGCAGAGGGGAGACTTGAAACATCTCTTTATGTCTTTGGTAGATATGAGCGTTTTATTGCCATGAACTTGCCAACAGGTCAAGAGCTAGAAATCATTCATAAAATAGTACACTTGGCCGGGCCCATCCTGCTCTCCTCTCCCATCATCCAGGGGAGTGTTCTGCTTTGTGGCTCTGTTTTTTTTCTTTTATATTCCAGAGTATTACAGGGATCCAACTGTTCTGGTTACATGAATTGCTTTTTATGACTCTTTATTTTCATCTCCACTTGGGGTGTGGGAAGCTTGAGGGGTGCTGGGTCTGGGAGGGGAGTGCAGAGGGTTTTTCCACTTGTTTCTCTTTGGTGCTTCATCCAAGCATAGAATGAGGTCAAGCAGCCAAATATCCAGTTTAAGTCTTTAGGCTTCCACTTTCTTTGTAGTAATTCCAGTGGAGGTGGGAATTGAAGGGACCCATATTTGGGGGTGGAGGGGAGAGTCAAAATGAAGAGTTAAAAAAGTTTATTAATTCAAAATATTTATTCTGAACAATGTAGTGTTTTTAACACAAAAAAGTGATAGCATTACATCACAAGTTGTACTTATCATAAGATCCTCACAGACTTCCTGTATATAAGGATTGGTGACCCAGTCCTGGGGCCACATTAGACACGCTCTATGCTCACTCTCTGTCCTGTCTGTGGGTGGCTACGTCCTATCACCACCTCCTTTGACAGTCATGGCCACGCTCTGCATTCAAGGGCTTTCCTGAGTGGGAGGTACAGCCTGGTGCCCTGTCCGGCTCCTGTCAGGTGGTGGCCCTGCTGAGTGACACCAGACAGCCTTTGCCTCTTCCTGTACACAGCCCTGCTATCCTTAGCATGGAGTCCTGAGCCACATCTCAGGATCATTCTCTCAGACCACCAGGCTCCTCCTCTGTGCGGGACTCTGGTAAGCAGCAGCTGCTGCGGTGGGTTCTTACTCATCTGCCACAGAACCCTGACTTCGTGGTAAGTGAGTGTTCAAATGAAGTGACCTTAGGACAGTGTTCTCAACCTTCCTAATGCTGTGACTCTTTAATACAGTTCCTCATGTTGTGGTGACCCCCAACCATAAAATTATTTTTGTTGCTACTTCATAACCGTAATTTTGCTACTGTTATGAATTGTAATGTAAACATCCAATATGCAGAATGGTCTTGGGTGACCCCTGTGAAAGGGTCGTTCGATCCCCAAAGGGGTCGCAAACCACAGGTTGAGAACTGCTGTCTTAGGAAGTGGGTGATTAACATGCTCATCTAACTTGGTATTTCCCACCTTGTGGTCATAGGCTGTGATTTAGTCTTTCTAAGACTCAGTTTCCCCATTGTAAAATGCAGAGATTTCTAATAGTCCATAGCCCTTAGGGTTGTTGCCAGAGGGAGTAAATCCCTACGATGATGATTTCGACATCTCCTGGCCCCGAAACAAATGCGGAGTGACTGCTGGTCACTACCCCGGTTCCAAGCCCAGCCCTGGGAAATTCTCCTGGTGGTTGACGCCACGATTGGCCACCAGGGGGCAGGCGCAGCCCGAGGACGCCAGGCTCCCGCTGTTTCTGGGCTGCTGAGGTAGGAGCCCTGTTCTGCTCATTCAGAGGCTTCCTGCCCCTGCACCTGTCACAGGCATCCAGAGTGGCAGCAAGAGAAGCCCATTGGCTGGAAATTCTTCCTTTCTACCAAGATGCTCAGATTATTTTAAAAAGGACCGTGAACAAGAGGGACTCTAACTAACAAGTTCAAATGTTATGATTTGGTTGTTTGTACCCTCACATTAACCTGAAATAAAAAATAATAATAAAGGATTGTAGAATTACTTCTCAGACAGCTTAAAGGTGGCCTCTGTCCCAAAGAAGCCAGGCTTTTCTGCTCAGAGACTGAAATAGTCACACACTCTGCCACTGTCCTCTTGAAGGGACCTGAGCCCCTCACTCCTGTGCTTCCTCTGTGTGGGAAGACGTTTCTAGGCAGAGGCTTGATGAATGCAGATGAAAAGTTCCCAGAGAGTCTGCCTTTCTTCCTCCTCCCCTGACTGTGGGAAGAAGGGAGTGGCGGCACCTGCCGTCCCAGAAGCCTCTCCGTGGCTTCTTCACCTGCAGATGGTAGAACAATCTGTTTAGAAACTGTCAGGAAGCGTTAGCGCCAGGTAAAATGCTCAAAGATGTCCTGTGGGCTGGAGAGCACTTTCCTGCCCATGCCCTAGCTTGGGGCTTGGGATACACTAGGTGGGGGACGCCCATTCAGAAGAGAGGATGGAAAATGAGTTTGTCCCCAGCTTAAAGTAGATCCTGGGTTCTCAATCCTGGCTATCTGTTAGAACCCCTGGAACTTCCTTCATCAAATAAAGGGTATTAACATAAGGAGGAAAAGGAGATTACTTCCTTGCCATCCTTTCTTCCTAATTCAGTGAACATATATTGAGCACCTCCATTCCTCAGCACACTGTGGAAACAAAATTGGAAGGACATTACTGCCCTCAGCAAGCAAACAATCCAGTAGGAAAGATGTTCCATGAGGACCATGGGACACCGTGGAGGGATGACAGGGAGGGTTGGTGTGTGGGGGATGTGTGCAGGGGGGACAGGGAAGCTTCCTGAAGGGCAAGGAGGCAGAGTGGGGAAAGCTAATGGTGAGCAGACAGCCCTGGGCTTAGGAGAAAATAAATCAAGAAAGAGTTTTGGGATTGGGAGCTGCCACTTTGGACAGATGGCCAGGGAAGGCCTCACTGAGAAGTGATCCTTGACTCAAGACTTGAGGGAGGTGACAACCACGTGGCTCTCAGAGGGAAGAGAGTCCCTGGTAGGACTGCAAAGCCAGTGAGCAGGTGGTCATAATGCAGGTGTGTTCCTGGTGAGTTTGGAGGCTGAGGGTGGCCTGCTCAGTGGGCAGGAGAGGGACAGAAGGCCATGCCTACATAGAAACAGAACTTGTGCGCTGAGACCTGATGTTCAGGTGGGGATTGGGCTTCGCCTCTGGGTGGACTAGGAGGCGTGTGGCTGCATTTCAGAAGGACCGTCCCTCCCAGGCTGGGTGGAGAACATCCTGAGTGGGCGGGGGTGGAAACAGGAAGCCTCTGCCATTCATGCTCTAAGCCACAAATCCTGCAGACAGAACTTTCACCGTAGCGCTCCTTCTATTGCTTGGGAGGATTGTGAAGTAGCAAAGGAAATAAGTCTGCCCTCGAGTTTCCTGCTCAGTTCCAGTAACACCAGGTGACCGCAGGTTGATTTTTACCTCAAGCCGGCGGGACCCTCTGTGGGGAGAACTACAAAGACTTGAAACCCAGTGCTGCAAAGACCCGGTCCTTTGCTTTTAGATGATGTGCCTGATTTTATGAGGTCTCCCATCCTCTCCTCCCAGCGCTGGGTGTGGGTCGTACTTGGTCAGGCTGGATTCTGGTTTATCACGTCAGGAGATTAAGGTAATACGACAAATTCCTGGCCTGAAAAGGAGTAAGGTTGAGAGCCACACTGACAGATGCAGCCTGTCTTCGGCACCTGTAATTCAGAGACTCCAGAGACACGGAGGGAGCGAGGCTCAGCAGGGGTCTCGGCAGCAGGGCTTCTTTGCTGGAGTTAGGACTGACTCCCTTCGGGACTTCATTCAGCCTTTTGTCGTCTTAGGTATGGAATCGCAGGGAGCGTGAACGTGACGGGAGACGAAGTGAAGAAACTGGACGTGTTATCCAGTGTCCTGGTGTGTTAGGCCTAAGTGGGCCTCGGCTAAAGCAGAAAGCAGAAAAGTGTCAGACCTAGACTATAATGGAAAAGTACCGGTTAACTCCTGGCAAATTTCCAGACTGCAAGTTTTCAGAAAAGAAATGAAATAAATCTAGCTCGCCCCTAAGATAAATGACAAAGTACTAGTTTGCTTCTAGTTCACTCCCAGTTTCTTGCTTGGCTAACTCCCTGGGAAACGAACTGACTGTCCCTGTACTGACCTTTAAACAAAACTAGGTGGAGAAAATACCGAGACAAAGATGTGTGAAACTAAGATGTATACGGGGTGTATGATGTATAGCTAACTAACTGCAAAATTCTGCTTCTGTACAGTGCTTGCTTGCTATCCTACCTGGATGCACCTGGACAGCCTGCATGCCAACCAGGATGAAGGCCAGGCCTTAGAAACCCAACCCGTAAAGCACTCGTGACTTCGCTCAGAAGCCCTATGTTAGGACACTGAGGCAGTCGCTGGCTGGTTCTTCAATAAAAGACTGTGCTTGGTGGCGCCTATGGCTCAAGGAGTAGGGCACTGGTCCCATATATGGGGGGTGGCCGGTTCAAGCCCGGCCCCAGCCAAAACTGCAAAGAAAACATATAAAAAAAATCAAAGGACTCTGCTGTAAATTTGGCTTGTTTGGCAGTGTGGTCTTTGTGGAACTCTGGGCACAATAGGTGATCAACATGCTCCAGTCCTCCTACAGCACCTGTGTCCTGGTGTCGAAGGAGAATGAGGCGATCATCACGGCCAAGGAGAGGCAGGTGCGTCCTGGGCTGCAGGGCCCATGATCACCAGTAGATGGTGCTACTGAGCTGAAGAGAATCCTTGTCCCGGGTTTCTGCAGTTCCTTGGATTTTCCCCTCTGTATCTGACATTTGTTTTCTAGAAACCAAGGTTGCACTCTTCTTTAGTTGTAAATCTTATACTGACTAGTTAAAGTAGACTCTATAGTAAGGCATTGATTCATCCAATAAATTAGTGATTTAGGAAATGCCGGGTGGGTGGGTGTTCATGGCTGTTCACTTAACATGCCAGTAACACGTATTGGCATCTTCCTTGAACCGGTGGAATCCAGTAAAAAGTAGAGTTTCTGGGAAGAGCTGTACCACACAGCCTCTTATTCTCCCCTCCCTGCTTCTCATTTCCACCCTCCATGCCTTCCCCACACTTTGATGAGGAGGTTGTGGGTTCGGCAGAGATTCCTTCATGCCTGACAAACTGTTAGACTAATACAGAAAGTAAATAATAAAGCTCCCGTGCTCTTGCCCTGGTGCAGTGATAAAGTCGGGCAGTGCAGGGCATGGCGGCGGTGGGCCTATAGTTAGGATGGAGTCACAAATAGCATATTATAGAGAGTGCTTTGCCGCCAATGTTCAGCTGCAGGGCAGACTAATACAACATCACTGCTGGGACACTGGCCTTCTTTCCTACACTGGGCATTGGGCATGGGGGTGTATTTCTTTGCGATTAGCTAGAAAGACGGCATAGATAAGAAAAGCAAAATTTCCTAAGCTCCTTTTGTATGCCAGGTACTATGCAAGGCACTTTTGCACCTGCCCGTCTCACAGAATTTAAGCTAAATTAATCTTTTATTTTCAACTTTCGGTTTCAACTGATGTGACCCTCCTTTCTCACCCCACTCTAACCTCCCTCCTGTGGTAGTCCCTGTTGGCCTCGGCTACACAGGTCTTCATGGTGGTTCTTGAATACTCCACACCTGCTCATCTCTCTGCCTGCAATTCTCCTGTTGTTGTAGCTGAGTCCTTCCCCAAGGGGCATGCTGAATACCTGCACAGAAGGTGCACGTCAGGTGAATTCTGCCAATCACTCTCTCTCCTCAACAACACGTTCTTTTCTAACCATTCATTTCATTTCTAAGACTGTATCTTAGTGCAATAATCAAGGTCTAAATACCTATTTATGGAGAAAACTATTCTTCATCGTGTTGTAATTAAAAATAATTTGAAGAGGGCGACACCTGTGGCTCAAGGAATAGGGCACCAGCCCCATATCCTCGGTATGGTGGGTTCAAGCCCGGCCCTGGCCAAAGTCTGCAAATAATAATAATAATAATAATGATAATTTAAAGAAAAATAAAAACAATTTAAAGGTAAATAAATAATGACTTACTAGTAATGGCCATTAAAAAGAATGTTTTTGCAGAATGTTAAATAGCTTAAGGTTAGATTCAAGATAAAAAGCTAAAGGAGAAAATAAGAATTCAGAACCGTACACAGAGCATGATTCCAGCTGTGTTATGCGCACACACACCATACTCAAAATACACTGGAAGGAAACGCACTGAAATATTTAGCATGTTCTTTCAGAGGAGGGGAATTACGGGTAATTTTTCTTTTCTTTTTTACTCCACTAAAATTTAATCTCCATGAAGGGAAAAAAATATATCTGATCTTGTTTACTCCTATATGTTGAATGTGTGTAATAGGAGCTAAATAAATAACCTTAATGAATTGTAAGTATTCTTTGCAATAGGATTAAGTCAGTTGTTAAAAAGTATGTGTACAATTGCATACAAATCTATGCTTGTGTAAATTCTATCCACTGATTTATAAATAAACTAATATTTGTTTATGGGAATGTGTACATCATATAGTTCTAATCCAAAACAATTTGCTCCCGAACTCAAGCCAATGCACACGGAACAGCAAAGTTTGATTAGTTATTTCCTTTACTCAGCGAAAAATATTTAGGGAAGTATGTCTATGTCCAGAATCTTTTTGACTTTACACTTGCCCCATTACTCTCAGTTTCCACACCAAAAAATATAGTAAGATAAGCAGATAGATATGTAACTCAGGAGGAAAAGTTTGGGCATTTATTAACAAATATATTCATAGAGATGGGGATTTTTATTTCATATATATAAAGTATATTTGAAAGGAAATTCTAAGAAATTATCACAATTCTATAAAAATAGATTCTAAATCACCATTTCATTTGGTAATACACGTGGCACACTGTGATCCTCCAGGAGAAACTGAGGCCCAGTTTTGGATGTTGACAAAACTCTTGAGTTTCAATGGTGGTCACCACTACTTTAAGCCAAATGTATTTTAATTGAGCAATCAGGAAGCTGTGGATACACATAGCTCCTGGCACAGTGAGATCAAAGGGGTCACACAGTATTATCAGTTAACAGGAGGGTGCCCTTTTGGTGAAGGAATGAATGGCCTTCGGGTGGGGGGTGCTCTGAGGTGGTGGGAGAGGGGAAAGGCAAGGGGCCGGTTGCGGAAAGGAGGGGAGGTCTGGGGGGGTCTTCAGGTTAGGTGAGAGAATGGAGGTAGGAGGCGGAGTGGGCTCCAGCACATGGGCTGGTCGGGAGATTCCTGGAGGGCTTGCTGAGCGGGCTGAGGACCAAGTGCCTGATGACTCCGTCTCAGAACCTGGAGAATCCGAAGGTGCTCCAGAGGAGGCATCATCGTCCAGCCGCTGCCGGAATAGCACCTTCATGACATCGAACATTGCCCTGTCACACACGTCACAGAGCGGGTCTGGGCACAGTACTTTCCGAAAATTCATCAAGTCATCGTCCTCTGCCCAGGGCCTACAGAAGACGGGAGGTACAAAAGTGAGACGGGGACTAGAACTCGGGAAGGAGGGCCTGCTGGCCTAGCCAGGCTGAGGCCACCTGAAGCCTGCACCCCCACCTTGCCCCCTCCCATGACTCCACAATGCACTTACCTGTTCCCATGGCTGCCCCCTCCCATGACCCTGGCAGGGTTCCCTGAATCCCTGACGTGCATAGACATGCTTTGAAAAGGGACCAGGAAAGAGAGGGGGAGATTAATCACCTCGTCAGAATGGAAATCATGGCCTTCTCCTCCTCTACTACTCTTGGGCACCTTCTCCGACCTGGGAAACCAGGAGACGGGGCGACAGGTGAGGAAGGAGGAAGTGTCAGGATCACAGGAGTCCCTTCATGGGAGACCCTTGGGGTACTAAGCTCTGATAGCCCGCAAACCAGCAGACAAGGTCAAAAGTCAACGGTAACCTTAACAAGGTTCACGTGTGGGTGTGGCCTCATTTAAAAAGGACTTTCACGCTCATTATCCCACGGGATGTTCAAACCCAGCAGGTGCAGCAGGGGCAGCAGCAGGGGTTACCTCGGAGAGGAAGCTGAGCTCCTGGGATGTCGGAGGACTTACCCAGAGTCAGGACACAGGATTCTGACTCCAGCCTAGGGGGCTCCCCCCTCACCACCTCTCATGGTCACCTACTGGGTAACACCCAGGGCCACAGTGAGCAGAGCAGGGACACTGAGAAGTGTCTCGGGTCACGTTGTCTTCCCGGGAGCGCCCCCTCTGAGGGCCCTCTTCCCAGAGAGACTGTATCTAGCAAGTGACTTCCTCAGAGATCAGGACCTGGGACCTCACGGAAGGAACAGGAAGGCTCCCCCTTGGAGAGCTCAGGTCAGTCGGCAGAACCTTCCTTACCTCTTCTCCTTCCACCACTCCCTATCTTCTGGGCTTTTCCCTGAGGCTGGGAACAAAAAAGGAGTAAGAGGCTGGGACCCAGTCCTCTCACTCCGCTGTCTAGGAAGTGCAGGCACTCTTTATCCACAAGTTATGGGATTCTTCTTTTTAATGGATAGAATATTCCTTCCTTCTGTCAGTTTTTAAAAGTGATAAAATATTTCCAATTTGTCCTTCTTTGGAAAACTCAAAGGAGGATTGTGTGTGTGAAATCCCCACCTGATGTTCTCAGAAGTCCTGTGCTCAAGGAGGACACAGTCAGAATCAACAGTCACATCTGCTCCCTCAGGAGAGGCCCTGTATCCTGGGGACAGAGCTTGGAAGCTCTGGACCTTGCTCTCCATGAAGGAAAGCTTGGTCGAGTGACACCTGCCCTGGTTCTGTGACTCTCCATCAAGTGTGAGGAGCCTGTTCTCCTTCAGAGAACCCACGCTCTCTAAGTGTGCCAACCCAGGACCACAACCTCACTGTATTTGGGATTTTATCCTGGAACCTTCCACTACACCCAGACAGGCCGCCTGTGAACCTGAGGTGGGACCTTAGTCCCCCTGAGCCCCTAGCCCCGCCCCACCTCGTCCTCTATGAGAGTCATGGTCTCCTAATCTCCAGACCGACCAGCTCATTTTGAAACGTGGGGGTAGAAATGGGAAACAGCGATGAAGAATCTCTCTTGGGTGTTCCTTACCTTTTTGCCATCTTTACTGTCCCAGGTTGTTTGTATTACTGATGTAATCAGTAAGTAGATGATGTAAAGCAAATTCAATGACAAGACCCCCAGAAAGGTGAACTGGGGGTCTAGATTGAACATGCTTGAGAGCAGGCTCTCCCACAATTCTAGAACATTATCGATAGAAATGAGAGTAGTCTCCATTGCTACCAGAGTAAGATCGCTGCCTGAAGCAACTGAGGGCTGAGGGTGCCAGGCTTAGGTATATATGGTCCCAGGCCTGCATCACCGCTAACATCACAGAGGAGACTCACAGAGGGTTTTAGGTGAGGAGGTGACAACAGGTGGTGGCTGTGGCCAATCCCCTGCTCCCACCCTCACCCCAGCAGATCTCTCCACCTCTCCTAGACCCACTGGGACCCTCTGCCCTCTGCTACCGAGAGTTTGCAACTTTACTCGTCTTTGGATCATATCTTTGTGTCAGTGAAATTTTCTCTTTTTTCATTAGTAATTCGAATTTTACTGGAATCCCCTGTTGCCATGCAGAGCCCTTGAGTTAGACCTTGGAAGTCTGAAATACTGCCTGGAATTTCTGCTTCTT